GTTTAGACCTGTAGTAAGAGAAAGTACCATGCCCCATAGGAGGAGTTCATTTGAATGCTTACCCCCAGAGGGGGGAATCCAAAAAACTTTGATCCGAGGAGATGGAGGAGAAAACCTTGATCCCAGGAGATCATAAGAATTTCGAAACCCCATAGGGGGGGGAATCCAAAAAACTTGATCTGAGGAGATGGAGTCTTTGTATTATCGAGAAAACTTGATCCAAGGAGATGGAGACTTCCAAAAAACTTGATCCGAGGAATTGGAGTCTTTGATTTCGAGAAAACTTGATCCGAGGAATTGGAGACTTTGATTTCGAGAAAAAATTTGATCCGAGGAATTGGAGTCTTTGATATCGAGAAAAACTTGATCCGAGGAGATGGATACTTTGTATTATCGAGAAAAAATTGGGATGGGGGTGGAAGGAGGGGGGGAACCTCAAAAACTTGATCCGAGGAGATCATAAGAAAATGAAATTCGAAAAAAATTGGGATGGGGGTGAAAGTGGGAGGGGGAAACTCAAAAATTTGATCCGAGGAGATGGAGAGCACAATAAAATGAAATTCAAAAAAAAATTGAAAAAAATCGGAAAAAAATTCATGAGTGCGGGGGCGATCCGGACGACGCTGCAGAAGGCGCAGGGAGAAGGCGCGAGGGGGGCGCGAGGGGCGCGGGCGGGCGCGAGGGCGCGGCGGGGCCAGTGGGTCGGCGCGACGGTCGGGGGGGGCGCGGGTGGGGGGTCGTGGGCGGGGGGGGCGTGGGCGGGGGTTTGTGGGCGGGGGTCGTGGGCGGGGGTCGTGGGCGGGGGGCCATGGGCGGGGTTAAGGTCATTAGCACATAGGTGTGAAAAAGGGACCGCTCAGCCGCAGCCCTTTCGGGAGGGACCGCTCAGGAAGGGACCGCTCAGCCGCACCCCTTTCAGGAGGAGACCACTCAGCCCGCAGGGACCGCTCAGCCGCCTTCAGCACTACTTATATATATATATAATCTCGAGACTATAGAGTGAAGTTAATAAAAGATACATCTACATCCCATTCATATACGTGACGTAGGAATACCCATCAACCTGATATGAATTTACTAATTTAATTTGAGAGATATGGAGAGATACTTGTCGTGAAAGTAGATGTTAGCAATATCAGATACGGCTAGGAATGTCGGGGGACAAATGAGTGATTACAGTAGTTCTATGAACATCCAGTACCATCATATGTCAATATGGTCTAATTCCGAACATATCATGCTGTCAGACCTGAAGATTTTTTTTAAGCACAAAAGATAAAGTATTTCCACACGACCACACACCACGAGGGGTCCCTGACTGAGTGGCAAATGTATTCGTCAGGACGGAGAAACAGTATCCTGAAACGAGTCATTATCTGATGATGACCCTCCCTCCACCACCTCAAAAGCTCCCTGTGGTCGGAGTGGGATGACAGCTGTTCCTTGTATTGTAGTTCTGTAAACCGTATGGTAGTGGCGAGAAAGGTTTTCTTCTGCTCATGTGGTTTAATAATGAAAGTAATATAATCAGACTAGGCGTTAAACCCTGAAAGGTATGACAACGCTGTCTAGTAGACACACGAACATGATCGTGTGGTGTCGCAGTTAGCTACGCTCAGTGATGCATCTCATTCCCGTATTCTGGATGCCGCTTGACTTCCCACAACTCGTCTCTTCTCAAAGCCACCTCCAACTTTGAACCAAATCCCGGGTGTATGCAGAGGTAGTGGAATGTTGAGGAGTCTGATGATACCTGGAGTATACCTGGACGGGGTTTCGGGTCAACGCCTCCGCGGCCCGGCTCTTGACCAGGCCTCATAGTGGATCAGCGCATGATCAACCAGGCTGTTACTGTTGGCCGCACGCAAACCGACGTACGAGTCACAGCCCGGTTGGTCAGGTACTGACTTGAGGTGCCTGTCCAGCGCCTTCTTGAAGACAGCCACTTATGTATACTGGGAGGTAGTTGAACAGTCTTGGACCCCCTCACACTCAGTGTTGTGTCTTAGTGTACTCGTGGTGCCCCTGCTTTTCATTGAGGAAATATTGCATCTCCTGCCAAGTCCTTTGCTTTCGTAGGTAGTGATTTTCGTGTACAAATTTAGGACTAATCCCTCTAGGATTTTCCAAGTGTATATTATCATGCATCTTTTTCGCCTTCGTTCCAGGGAGTACATATCAAGGGACTTCAACCGTTCCCAGTAATTTAGGTGCGTTATAGTACTTATATGTGCCATGAAAATTCTCTGTATATTCACCAGGTCTGGAATTTCGCTGCCTTGAAAGGGGCCGTTAGTGTACAGCAATACTCCAGTCTAGAGAGAATAAGCGATTTAAAGAGAATCATCATGGGATTTGCATCCATAGTTTTGAAGGTTCTCATTATCCATCCAATTATTTTCCTAGATGTGGTGGATACATTATTGTGATCTTTGAAAGTGAGATTCTCTGACATTATCACTCCCAGTTCCTTCACATTTGTTTCTCGTTCTATTGTGTGGTTGGAAATTGTTTTATACTCCGATATAGTTTCAATTTCCTCGAGTTTTCTACAGCGGAAAAATTGAAATTTGTCTTCATTGAACTTCTTATTGTTTTCTGTGACCCATTTAAAGATTTGGTTGGTGTCTGCTTGGAGACTTGCAGTGTCTTTGATGGATGACACTGTCATGCAAATTAGTGTCATCCGCAGAGGACACAGTGCTACGGCTTGCAACTCTATGACAGATATGAGGATGAGGAACAGAATGGGAGCGAGTACTGTACCTTGTGGAACAGAGCTTTTCACTGTAGCCGCTTCTGACTTTACTCTATTTACTATTACTCTTTGTGTGCTATAGCACCATGATCTCAATTGTCGAAGGCTATTTATCACTATGAAGGATCGATGGAGGAGGGAGAGACCTTAAATGGATACGACGGGGACCTGGTGAATCCATCCATGTGGCCGGAGATAGACAATTGCAGGACATGTTCTCTTGATGGATAACAGCTTCAGTCAGTTATGAGTAGCCCTTGTCTTCATTTCGGCATTGTAGATTATCTGGTCTTCCTACAACTCAATCTCGTCAATTCTCAGGACCAGCCATGACTTTGGGCCGAAGCCCAAGTGCCGGCGTGACCCTAAGACTAGCCTGCTCAATGACTCTACTGAGTATAGTAAAAAAGAATTCAGCATGGAAAGAATATCCAGTGCGGGTGGTGAGGTGTTACTGCACTACAAGAGACGTACTAGAATTCGCTAAATTTCTTCTGTTTCAACTCTGATTCATGGAGTCTGACTGTAGATAACTTCAAACACACATTTAAAATTGTCTCTTTCTTGAAATCGTAGCCTGATTCTGTCCCACACTATAATGTGGATTGTGTCGAGGTGCTGCAAACATGCGTTGGCATTATTTTAGCTTACATAGCAACACTCTTCTTGTCGAATATATATATACGTATATATATATATATATATTATATATATATATATATATATATATATATATATATATATATATATATATATATATAATGTGTGTGTGTGTGTGTGTGTGTGTTTGTAAGCAGAAATAGAGATATAGGGGAAGCTTTGTACATCATGGCCATTAACAAAATTGAAACATCTGAGCTCATTTGTCTGCTTACACAATCCTCTGATGACAGGAATGTAAACACAGAGAAGCGCCCAGCTCACTCGCAATCCCGGCATCTAAGCAGCAAGGTCATCTCTCCTTTTTTTCCTACTAGCCCAGTGCTGACGGGACTGCTACTGCGATGCAGCCTCATCGAGTGAAATTTATATCTCTAAAAAAAAAAGCAGGACTTACTGAGTGAAGCCAAACACTGGCCACACTTTTCCGGATAGAGCTGCACTTGAATTTTCTGAACCTTATAATAACCAAAGACCTTCAAGGACTATTTCAGTGATGGAAACGCTGACAAGATCACATCAACTCATTGAAGATGTTTAAACAAAACTTTGGAGTGATATCACCACTCGTGCTGTAGTTTGAAAAATCTATATGCATCCCAAAACCGAAAAAAGATCAGACCAAACAAACAGCTGACTACCTAAAAATAGAGGATGAAAACCAAACTCCGGGAAATAATTATATTACCGAACATCTCAGTGAGCAAAATCGGAGTTTAGGAAATGTCGAGAGCAAAACAATATAGGAACGATTTCTACCAAGTTCTCTTGGTACAAATCGTTCGACGAACCTTAACAGTAAAGTGCCCTATAAGAAAGGAACTAATCAACAAGGAAAAAAAGAAATCATGAAACACGACTTTTAAAAATATCACATGTGCAGCGGGAACCAGACGATAAAAGGTACAAAATACCGACATGATGGAAAAACAGACATAAATGCCGTATAATGTGATCCTTTATTGATTACGTTTAGCCCACACAGCGAGTTTTATGAAGTCACAAACATATCTACTTGGACAAAGACTACAATGAGCATGTATGAAGTGGAGAATGTTGGGGAGGTAGGATTTGAGAGGGACATTCACGGGACGGGCAAAGAAGTATCTTGTTATGTAGGATAACGATGAAGGAGTTTAGCCAGAACAACCTCGTTTACGACATAGATGAACCCCTTGCTAGGAAACTTCTTCGTTAAACTACATAACATACTCGCCCATCACTTGCAGGTCCGTCTCAGCTCCATCCTCGCCAGCATTATCCACCTGACTTTCCACCAAGTATATACTCATGTGTTCTTTGTCCAGGTAGTTCCATTTGTGACTTGATAAATTTACATTAACAAATTTTAAATTAGCATATATGCACAACCGAAATGATTTAAGAGAACTAGTAAACACACACATGAACAGTTGGGTCGTTAACCGCAAGGAAACCCTGCACACTGCGACTAAAACTAAGATGTTCTACATTACGTACCCCTGAAGGACGCCAAGTCGGTAGCACAGAGTGGCCTTGACGATAGACAGAGGTGGGGCTAAGAAGCCATTATATAAAGCCACGATTCCAACTCATCAGTAGCTCATATCCTGAGAACCATCACAATGGTGGGACACCTTTACCGTGTTGTATTGAGTGTGTGTGTGTGTGTAAAATTGGTTTCTTAGCAAAAAGTCATTTATATGTTCAAAGATATATTTTTTGTGTTAATGTAAAAATTCATAATTTTGTACCAAAGAACCTTAGAAAACTTACCTAACCTAATAAGCGCAATTTAATTTATCCTAATCCAACTAAATATCTTTTAGAAAAGTTTACAATAATTTAATAAACAAACACATTGAAATATATTTTTTTCGTTAGGTTCAGAATGATTTTTGCGAAATTATTGCATACACAAATTTTTCCTTGCTTTATTCGACAAGAAGAGCTTTGCTATTCAAGGCAAAATCGCCTTGAATATATATATATATATATATTATATATATATATATATATATATATATATATATATATATATATATATATATATATTCAAGGCGATTTTGCCTTGAATAGCAAAGCTCTTCTTGTCGAATAAAGCAAGGAAAAATTTGTGTATGCAATAATTTCGCAAAATCATTCTGAACCTAACGAAAAAATATATTTCAATGTGTTTGTTTATTAAATTATATATATATTATATAAATATATATATATATATATATTATATAATATATATATATATATATATATATATATCGTGCCGAATATGTAAAACTGGTCAATTAGCAAGAACTCATTTAAAATTAAGTCCGTTCTAAAATTTTCTCTTATACGTTTAAAGATATATTTTTTTCATTAATGTTAATGTAAAAAATTTTAATTTTGCACCAAAAGAATCTTAGAAAACTTACCTAACCTTATTATAACAAGAACAATTTATTTTAGCCTAACCCAACTATATATATTTCAGATTTGTTTACAGTAATTTAATACTAAACAAAGTCAGTGAAATATATTTTTTTCGTTAGGTTCAGAATGATTTTGGCGAAATTATTGCATACACAAATTTTCGCTTGTCCTATATGGCAAGATGAGCGTTGCTATTTAAGCCAAGATCGCAAGTTCTGCCTATTCGGCACGACAAAAAATATATATATATATATATATATATATATATATATATATATATATATATATATATATATATATATATATATAGTGAACTTTAGTGAAGTGAACGTTACAGTGTCTTATAAAATGTCTGAATGAGACAGTGTTTCTTGATTCTGAAACATTTATATATACCTCTTATTAGTCTGACATGTATTACAGAAACTGCTGTTGATCAGCGTGAGTGCTGCACTCCTGCTGGGTTCCTGCAGAGCTGGTGGTCTCTACAACCGTGGCTCCTCCATCGGAGTCATCTCTGGTGGACATGGAGTTGGTTTAGGAGGCGGCTTAGGAGGAGGCTTCGTAGGAGGCTCTCATCTCGGTGGAGTTACCTCTGACTTTTCTTCACTAGGTCTTGGTGGGGGTTATCCTGGCGTGGGTGGCGCCTCAGTCACTACTAAAGGCATCGGTGGCCTCGTCAGATCTACAGTTACAAAGGGCATCGGTCACTCTGGTATTGGTGGTTCATTCGTAGGTCACGGTGGCTCCCTGGGAGCTATTGGCGGTTCGTTAGGTGGTGTAAAATCTTCCTTAGGTGGCATTGGTATTGGAGGTATTGGAAGTTCCTTAGGTGGCATTGGTATTGGAGGTATTGGAAGTTCCTTAGGTGGCATTGGTGGTCACGGTGGCTCGCTGGGAGGTATTGCTGGTTCATACGGTGTCAGAGGCTCCTTAAGTGGCATTGGTGGCTCCCTGGGAGGTATTGGAAGTTCCTTACGTGGTGTTAAAACTTCCATAGGTGGTATTAGTGGCTCCCTGGGAGGTACTGGAAGTTCCTTAGGTGGTGTAAAAACTTTCATAGGTGGCATTGGTGGTCACGGTGGATCCCTGGGGGGTATTGGTGGTTCATACGGTGTTAGAGGTTCCTTAGGTGCCATTGGTGGCTCCCTGGGAAGTATTGGAATTCCCTTCGGAGGTGTTAAAAGTTCCTTAGGTGGCATTGGTGGGTCTCTTGGTGGTCACGGTGGCTCCCTGGGAAGTGTTGGCACTAACTTTGTTGGTGTGAAGAGTTCATTAGGTGGTCATGGTGTCTCCCTGGGAGGTGTTGGTGGATCCTTCGGTGTCCGTGGTGGACGAGGTGGCGCATATGGAACATATGGAAAATAAATGAACTCATTGGTAAAACTTGCAGCGTAACTGATAATAAAATTTCTAATTATTTAGAAAAAATTAAATTGATTATCAATAAAATCTTTGAATTCCTCTATGTAATTATATATTTCTATCCTTATAACATTACACACACACACACTGCCTTGGTAGGAAACGCTGATGTGTTTCTATAATATAATATATATATAATATA